TGAATTTACCAAAAACAAAAAAAGACTCTAAAATTTCCTGTATAGTCTCTGGTCCCCTCGCTGACGCAAGAAAATCAAGATTTTTTAATCAAAATTTCAAATGTTCTAAAATGGGTCTGTCTATATTTCTGAGATGAGGTATTATGTACAGTATTTACATTAGTAGGACTATTGTCCTCATCTTTGTCGCCATATTTGTCATATTTGTTATTTCCAACCACCTGAAGAAGGCCGGAGCGTACAACGGCCGAAACGTTGTGACAAATATGGCGACAAAGATGAGGACAATAGTCCGACTAATGTAAATACTGTACTAAAATAGATTTTAAAATACTTAACCAAATAATTAAAAAATAATTTGATTTTCTTCTTCAAAAGATAAACATTTTTAATATAAAACTTTGCTTTTATTAAGTGTGAGGCATTTTTTCGTCATGATATACTCTTTTTTTAGCGAATTAGTGGAGGTACCTAATATATATATATAAAATAAATATATATGTGTGTGTGTGTGTGCGTGCGTGCGTGTGTGTGTTGACTGAAATGTCTACTTATAATAAACAATAGAACAATAGAAAAATATTGAGAAATTAAAATTAAAATGTTCAAATACACTAGGTTATATATTAATACGTTTTACTTTATTATTTCAATTAGATCTCTCGACTAGTTTTGTCCAGCATGGCCATCATCAGGAGAGAAAAAATCAAAAACCAGTTGCCATCCAAGACTATAGAACCCTGTCTGTCCCGCTATTTTACCCATAGTTAGGGAAAAAAGAGGATTCATTATACCTTTCCCAAGGGTATTAGCACGTAAGTGAATATAATGGATTATAGTAGTATGATGAAAATTAAAATAAAAAAATCCCATTAGGGGTCAGTACAAATAGCTTGTTTCCATTCCCACCCATTGAACAACCAACATAGAGCTGTCCGTGAGAAAAACAGGGTTTCATCAAATGAAGTTCAGTTCAGTCAGTTATATGCCATGCGTGATACACACTTAGGTGATCATGTATCTTTCGATACATGACTGACTAGACAGATTTTTTCCCGCAGTAGGTTGTCATTTCTTTCTGCGGTAGACCAGTTGCCATCCAAGAATAGAGAACCCGGTCTTTCCTGTTATTTACTCATAGCTGGGGAGAGAAGAAAAGGAGTCATACCTTTCCCAAGTATATTAGCACGTAAGTGAATGGATTCGACTGGAATTCGAACTCGGCTTTCCGACTGCTGAATCCAAGCCGCCCTGGTGCTCCTCCTATTCACCTCGAGGTCCTTGACAAAATCCAAAGAAGGATCTCCATTGTAATCTATCCTGACCTGGCATCTCGACTCTAGTCACTTTCTGAGCGACGTGAGGTGGCTTCTGCAAATATTTTCATGGCAACTGCTCTGGCGAGCTTTTTTCCCTGCTGCCCCGACTGCATGAATTTAAGCGTGTTACTATATTGGCATCCAGGTTCTACCCGTTTACTGGTGAAATAACTAAATGCAACCGACACTTCACCTCTAACAGTGTCTTTTCTCGCACTTCCCGCCTATGAAAGCCGCTTCTGTTTATTTGCTTCCCTGATAACTACAAACTTCAAAAATTTAAATGTAATATCAATCGCCATCTTGAATATTCTTGAATCCCGTTCATCTTTAGTCCTTTCCTCAATCTTCCCTCTACTCAGTCTTTACTTTCACTTTCACTTTCACTTTTACTTTCACTCCCTGTAAAACCCAGCTTATTAGTGGTATTCAGGCCTTGCTTGAGATGAAATGATTAAAACAAACTAATTAATGTTATATTCAACTTTGGAGTTTTGTAGACGAACCGTTTTGCAATCGTGCCGTCTATTCTCCAAGAGGTTTCAGGCCTTTGTTAATACAAGTTAGATTAATGATATATAATAATAATAATAATAATAATAATAATAATATATATATATATATATATATATATATATATATATATATATATATATATATATATATGGTCGTGTGAAAGTGTTTTTAGCATAATGAGACAAAAGTCCAAATATCACAACGGACGATTTGTCAAGGACAGATTTATATTACTGAAAACTATACCACGATCTGACTCAAAACAGATAAGCGAAATTGCGTACTGGAAACTGTTTGGAAACTGTCGATGGTTGTACTATAAAAAAATCATAAGTCATTGTGACAGAGGATTTCAGAATAGAGTCCTTGTTTAACACATGCATATTGGCGTTGATCATGTCAAATTGATTGGCGTTGATAATGTTAAATTGTTGGCTCTCTAGGTAACTGCGAATAAGGCTTGCTCAGTATAGTTGCAGCATAAACCACGGGGTGGGATCTATGGGTTTTGAAGAAACATAGATGTACCTGAAAATTTAGAAACGTTTATATATATATATATATATATATATATATATATATATATATATATATATATATATATTTTTCTGAGATGAGGTATTATGTACATTATTTACATTATTCGGACTATTGTACTCATCTTTGTCGCCATATTTATCACAACGTTTCGGCCGTTGTACGCTCCGGCCTTCTTCAGGTAGTTGGAATGTCGAACTGAACCATTTATTTCACTCACTGGGGTAGACTGTTCTAGTTCCACGTGCCATGTCTAATGGATGTCAGTTATCAGTTATCTCCTGTTAATTCCCCTCTCCAAGTTCTCCACCGCCTTAACCAAGTATTGAACTCTTTGGGCCCTGTCACTGGATCTAACCAACGCCTTTATCCACTGTGCCATTTGTCCTTGAGGACATCTGTGTATGAATTTCTGGGTATTATAAACCTAATGTCTTCAGCAACCATTTTTACCAGTGCTCATATTGCATTTTTTTTGCTATTATCATTGCTTGTTTTTTTACCAGAGCTCATATTGCAATTTTCGTTGTTTTTATCGCTTTTTCTGGCACCCCTTATTACTGGTTCCCATATTGTATTCATTTCTATGCTTGGTCGGCTGAGGAGATTTTTGCGGCCTAGCATAATAATGTAAATAATATACATAATACCTCATCTCAGAACTATAGACTGATAGTGATTTTTAAGGAACTATGAAATACGATTAAAGGCAATAATCAAGAATAAAGGTTACACAATTGATTATTGTTGCAAGAGAGCCAATAATTTTGTCCTGTGTTAAATGTTTTCTGGTGTTTTATTTTTTGTATTATTGTTTGATATTAAAATAAAGATTTTGTTTTGGGCATCTCTACACATTCTTTCAAATCCATCATTTCATCATTTGTAATAAATAAATGTACATGAAGTTTACATGAAAAATTGAGGTATTATAGATTTATTTGTAATTATGGAAGCGCGGGTGTGAATAATTCGGTGCACGACTGTATATAGATTTGAACATTTGTCATAGCGCTCGAAAAAACACTGTCACGGGGCCATACATATATAGGCATTTATATGGTCTATAATCTAATTTGTATTAATAGTCTTGCAATTGATGAAAACCCCTGACGTGTGGACGGAACGATTACTCAATGTTTCGTCTATAAGACTACAAAGTCAAGGTGCTGAAAACAACATCAATCAGCTAAGTGTCAAATTTTATTTGTATTAATCCTTTATATATATATATATATATATATATATATACTGACTTCTTGATTTATTTTCTTTATTCACATCCAGTGCACCCTAATAATAGCAGAAGTAATGTATATATATATATATATATATATATATATATATATATATATATATATATATATATATATACTTATTTTCTTTATTCACATCCAGTGCACCCTAATAATAGCAAATAATATACATATATATATATATATATATATATATATATATATATACTGACTTCTTGATTTATTTTCTTTATTCATCCAGTGCACCCTAATAATAGCAGAAGTAAGATATATATATATATATATATATATATATATATATATAAATTGTTTAAAGAACCCGGCCTTCTTGCATATCGTAGACACACGCTTACACATATCATGCTCATTCACTCCTCCCTAAGAACCAAATAACGCACACACAAACACTAAACAGAGACACATCCCCTCACCAGGTCCAATAAAACTGTCAAACTGACCAGAGAATTCAGAGCAGCATGTATCTATCCAGCTCTTATCTCAAATAACAACTTAAAAGAGACTGTTTGCCCAACACAAAGAATGTTAAAAGATTCATGTTAAAAAGATAAAAAAACAAATGAAAACTACAGACAAAAGTTCATTTTCTCCATCAAGACATCCATTTCTGTAGTTTACTGCTACCAGCAAGCAGAAACATTTCTCCTCCCGATGATGGCCATTTTGGTCGAAACTAGTCGAGGAATCTAAATGAAATAATAATAAAAAAAAAAAACGAAAGAATATTAATCTACAACCCAGTGTGTCTAAAGATTCTAATTTTTTAATTTTTTAATATTTTTTTATTATTCAATATATATATATATATATATATATATATATATATATATATATATATATACTGACTTCTTGATTTTTAGTAAATTTGCTTTTTAACGCCCAAACGCCCGCGCGCTAAATATCTCTTAAAATTTTCACAGATCGTTTTAATTCCGGAAATGAACATATGTAACGCAAGTAAATAGGCCAAAATTTAAGGTTGCGCCACTGGATGTACTCGGCAGTGAATTAGTAAACATTATGGCAGTAATGGGGGAGAAACGACCAACAAGAAGTCCGATTTTTTTCTTGTCGATAACTCCAAAAATGGTAGGTTTCTTCATAATTTAATTATTAATTCGAGCTCAGCATGAACATTTATACGGAATTATGACGATTTGGGAAAATTTTAAGAGATATTTAGCGCGCGGGCCTTTGGCCGTTAAAAAGCAAATTTACCGATTTTTTTTTTTCTTAATTCAGATTCAGTACATCCTAATAATAGCAGACTTAAGATTATGTTTTGAAGAAGTAAAATTTGTCATGAAGTGTTACTGGAAACACGAAAACATCAAAAAAAGGTTTACGGCTATATCACGTTCCCGTACGATCACCGAAGTTAAACAACGTCGGGCCTGGTCAGTATCTAGATGGGTGACTGCTTGCTAATAACAAGTGCAGTAAGCTTGTATATGCTGGTGGTATAATGGATAATTCATCGGACTTTTTAATCGGAGAGCCGAGTTTCAATTTCAGTTGGGTACGTTATATTTACTTATTCGTCCTGGGTATGACGATAAACTCCATCCGGCAGCAAGAAAGGGTTTGAGGAACGTGTCACAACCACTTAATTGCTGTTGCTCCCAGGTCCACCCTGACCTGGGGTGGTAACACCTGTTAGGGTCCCAGATATGGGCAAATAGTTAAAACCCAAACTGGAGTCAAAACTCTATAAAAGTATAAAAATAGATTTTATAGTAAGACTAACAGAAATACCTTTTTGGAAAAAATACTAGCTATATATATATTTTTTTAAGCATTTCACCCCAAGCAAGGCGGGAAGCCACTAGGACGCAAGACGTTACAGAAAATTTAGAGCAAGATCAGATAGGAGTGATAGAAGAAAGGATGAGGAGAAGGGTAGTGGATAGATCAAGGCAACTGGAGATGTCGATTGACATTACATTTGAATAGATGGAGATTATAGCTCTCAGGGAAACAGGAAAAGGAAAGGGAGTTCCACAGGCGAGAGGTGCGAGATATGAAGCTATTGGAGTAGAAGAGACGGCTACATTTAGGAGTTTCGACAGTGAAGGGGTGAGAGCGGGATGCCAGCCTCGTAGGGCGCATGAAGTCTGGGAACCAGCGAATGCAGCTCCTCGGAGCAATTGCCATGAAAGTATTTGTAGAACAGACAGAGGGAGGCGACGGCGCGTCTGTGAGAAAGTGACTGTAGACGAGATGCCAGAGCATGGCCAATTATATTGCATATCCGCCTCTGGAGCCTATCAAGAACCCCGAGGCAGACAGAAGGGGCTCCAGACCATATATGGCAGCAATACTCCATGCAAGGGCGAATTGTTGATTGGTAGATTTGGAGGAACCATTCCGGGGAGAAAGATTTCCTGGCGCGGCGCAGGGAGCCAACTTTCCTTGCGGTGGACGAAGCAATTGACTCAATGTATATCTGACTCTCAACAAAATTATTCAATGAAACCTGATCTAGAACCCGATTCCTTTAAAAGAATACATATTCTATTCATACAAAACTATTCTAAAAATCTTGTCGACATTAATAAACCCATTGAGGTTGGTATGCTGTAAAACAAAATAAACTATATTCACTTACACGCAAATATCCTTCTTCGCCCAGCTGAGGGTTAATTTATAAGACTTGTCTCAAGAAAACTGTTATTATCGAAAAACAAATGCATAGAAAAATATTTACAGTTCGGCATAGAGGATGATATGTCGCTAAAAAAGACAACAATCCAACAAACCAACATTCAAAGAAGACTGGATTTCTTGTGTGTTCCTTAATCCTCACTGCTATAAACTTTTTTTTTATGAGTATACCATGAAGACAAGGCTTACTGCAAAAAAGTCAGCGAGAGTTGAAGAACCGAAAGAAGAAAGCGTAAGACAATGCTTCACACTTTGTTATAGTGGAACATACCTATTCTATTTTTAATAGACTCTCCCACCTATAATAAATAGGAGTAGTAGGAGTCTCTCAGTGGGGTTCGGTCAGACAGTCGATGCCGGGCGACCGTTAGTCGGGATACAAAACTATCAGCGACCACAACTAGATTTCGTATGAGCAAAAACAAAAAAGTTACTCCCCTTACACTGAAAAAAAAAAGAAAAAGTACATGTGAACAGCATAAGCAGTACAAAAAAATGAACAGTTGAAATGTTTTAAATTCATAAAAACACATATATGTAAACTCACAGACAATTTAACCAATTGAAGATGATCTCAGATGACATTGAAAGTACTTGGGGAAAATAAAAACTATTCGAAAGAAAATTTGGGTATTTTTCTTACTCAATCTACCAAGAAATCCCTGAACTTGAACTTGAAAGGATTACAACGAAAACTAATCGACATGATATGTCTAAATTTTTTAACCAAACCCGTTTGAATGAAAATATGCTGCCTAAATATACACAGTATATATATATATATATATATATATATATATATATTGAACAATAAGAAAATAAAAAAATTAAAATCTTTAGACACATTGGGTTGTAGATTAATATTCTTTCGTTTTTTTTATTATTATTCCATTTAGATTCCTCGACTAGTTTCGACCAAAATGGCCATCATCGGGAGGAGAAATATTTCTGCTTTCTGCTCTGTAAACTACAGAAATGAATGTCTTGATGGAGAAAATGAACTTTTGTCTGTAGTTTTCATTTGTTTTTTTTTTTGTTTTTTTTTTTTTATCTTTTTAGCATGAATCTTTTAACATTCCTTGTGCTGGTCAAACAGTCTCTTTTAAGTTGTTATTTGAGATAAGAGCTGGATAGATACATGCTGCTCTGAATTCTCTGGTCAGTTTGACAGTTTTATTGGACCTGGTGAGGGGGATGTGTCTATGTTTAGTGTTTGTGTGTGTGTGTTATTTGGTTCTTAGGGAGTGAGTGAGTATGATATGTGTAAGCGTGTGTATTG